GTATGCATGCCCAGGAAAGACCTAGGAAAGGAGAAAGCCCTGGTCACTCACCTCTTGCTTGGATGAATAGTGCAAACAGAAAATTAAAGTTAAGCCTGTCTTGTAAATTGTTTAAAGTTTAAAGTCATGCCTTGACACACGGATCTCCTTGGCAGAGGTAGAAAAAATACAGGCATGGCATTTAAGGAAACATTCTGACTGATCATTGGCTGACCACTAAATTATAATGAACCAAAGGTGACCCCTAGGAGACCAGGCTTGAAAACAAGAACATAAAATCAACAACAACAAAATATAGCAGGAAACTCAGTGTCTACACACTGTGGAGAATACAGATTTACAAATTAGCCTGGAAGAGTCACTAAGGAAATAAGCAACAAGAAGAAAACAAAAACAAGAACAGAAATCCAAGAACAACCACCACCTCTGGAGTCGAGAGAGGGTTCTGATACTGGAGTTGTTACAATGCATTATCTAAAACGTCTGGTTTCCAATGAAAAATTACAAAACCTACCAAAAAAAGGCAAAGCATATCACATAAACAGGAATAAAAATTGTCAATAGAAATAATCCTTGAATACTCCCAGATGTTGGATGTACTAGACAGAATTTAAGTCTGCTATTTTACATACATTAAAAGAACTAAAATAAACCAGTGTCCAAAGAATTAAAGGCAAGGAAAGTCTGACAACTAGGTGTCATTACATAGAGAATATCTGTAGAAATTATTAAAAAGAAACTAGTTGCAATTCTGGAGTTAAAAAGTACAATGACTGAAATAAAAAAGTCACTAGGCAGCTACAAACAACAGATTTGAGGAAATAGAAGAAAGTATCAGCAGACTTGAAGATAGGCCAGTAAAGATTATCCAGTAAGAGAAACAAAATGAAGCCTGAATGAGAAAAATGTGTAGAAATTCATACACCTGTGACATATCAGGAAAATTACCAATATACAGTGAATGGAAGTCCCAGAGAAGAGCAGAGAAATAAGTCCAAAATTATTGGAAAAAAATAATGACCAGAAGAAGCTCAAGAAACTCCAATGAACTCAGAGACCCATACCTATCCACAGCAGAGTCAACTTGATGATTTCTCATCAGAAACCATGGAGGTTAGAAGACAGATAAGAGCTTCAAAATGTTGAAGGAAACAGATTGGCAACCAATAATTCCATAACTAGCAAAACTTTTTAAAAATGCAGGAAAATCAAAAGATAATCCTAGAATGGCAGAAAATGTTTGTAAAACATATGCCTGATAAGGGACTTGTCCCAAAAATATACAAATAATTTTTAAGACTCAACAATATGTCTTCTTTGGAGAAATGTATGTTCATGTCTTCTGCCAATTTTTTTTACATGATTATTTGTTTTGTGTGTGTTGAGTTTGAGGAGTTCTTTATAGATCTTGGATATCAGCCCTTTGTACTGTCATTTGTGAATATCTTCTATTCCTTGGGTTGCCTCTTTGTTTTGTTGACTGTTTCCTTTGCTGTGCAGAAGCTTTTGATCTTGATGAAGTCCCAAAAGTTCATTTTTGCTTTGGTTTCCTTTGCCTTTGGAGACATATCTTGAATGAAGTTGCTGTGGCCAATGTTGAAGAGGGTAGTGCCTATGTTCTTCTCTAGGATTCTGATGAATGAATGAATTCCTGCCTCATGTTGAGGTCTTTTATCCATTTCAAGTTTATCTTTGTGTATAATGTAAGAGAATGGTCGAGGTTCATTCTTCTACACGTAGCTGTCCAATTTTCCCAGCACCATTTATTGAAGAGACTGTCTTTTTTCCACTGTATATTTCTTCTGCTTTGTCAAAGATTATTTGACCATAAAGTTGAAGGTCCATATCTGGGCTCTACTCTGTTCCACTGGTCTATGTGTCTGTTTTTGTGCCATGCTCTCTTGGTGATCACAGCTTTGTAATAAAGTTTGAAATCAGGCAACGTGATGCCCCCAGTTTTGTTTTTCTTTACTATGGAGTATTATGCCTCCATCAGAAAGGATGAATATCCAACTTTTGTATCAACATGGATGTGACTGGAGGAGATTATGCTGAGTGAAATAAGTCAAGCCGAGAGAGAGTCAATTATATGGTTTTGCTTATCTGTAGAGCATAAGAAATAACACGGAAGACATGGGGAGATGGAGAGGAAAAGTGAGTTGGGGGAAATTGGAGGGGGAGATGAACCATGAGAGACTGTGGACTCTGAGAAACAAACTGAAGGCTTTGGAGGGGAGGGGTGTGGGAGGTTGGGTGAGCCTGGTGGTGGGTATTATAGAGGGCATGTATTGCATAGAGCACTGGGTGTGCTGCATAAACAATGAATTCTGGAATACTGAAAAGAAATTTAAAAAATAAACAAATTTTTTAAATTTCATTGGAAAATAAAAAAAAAAAAACACCTCAACAGTGTAAAACAAATAACCCAATTAAAAAATGAATAAAAAATCTGGATACCTCACCAAAGAAGACATATATGTGACCAATAAACCCATGAAAAATTGATCGATATCATCAGTCATTAAGGAAATGTAAATTAAATAGCAAGGTACCATTTCACACCCACTATGGCTATTATAATTAGAAAGACAGTTATTAGCAAATGTTGGAAAGAATATAGAGAAATTGGAACCCTCATGCATGGCTGGTAGGATTTTAAGGTATAGCCTTGAAAAACAGTCTGGCAGTTCCTCAAAAATGTTAAGTATAGAGTTACCTTATGCCTCAACAATTTCACTCCTATTTACATACCCAAGGAAATTGAAAACTACGTCAGCACAAAATCTCATACAGAAGTGTTTTTAACTCTTGAGCAATTAGGTGGGTACACAAACACTGCTATTTGCTTAGATAGAAAAATGGAGGAGAAACAAGTGTGGATTAAGGGAAAGGAAATCTGTTCTGGAACAAGACGTAAATCTTTTTAAAGGTTTTCTTAAGGATCTGGGAACTATTTCTTTAACATATAACCAAGAAAGATAATATCCCAATCTCCTAGTTTCTGTGGGAAGGTAATAGCTTAATTCAGTGGAAACCTTGCTCCAAGTTGCAAAACTACCTTTCATTCTAAAGATATGTGAAGTCCTTATTTGCTTAAAAAACAAATCACTAACATTCATAACAGCATTATTCATAGAAGCATAGAAGTGGACTCACTGCCTATCAACTGACAAATGGATAAGCAAAATTTGGTATATTCATTTAGTGGGATATTACTGGGTAATAAGTAAGGATGAAATCCTAACAAGGGCTGCAATATGAGTGACCTTAAACACATTATGCTAAGTGAAGGACATCAGTTCAAAAGATAATATATGATTCATTTTATATGAAATGTCCATAATAGGCAAATATATAGACAGAAAATATATTAGTGGGTGCCAAGAACTGGATGAAACAGGTGATGTGTACAATTCAGGCAAGGAAGGGGAATGGGGATTGACTACTAGTGGGTCTGGGGTTTCATTTTGGGTGATAAAAATATTCTAAAATTACATTGTTATAAAAGTTACACCACTCTGAGAATATACTAAAAACCACTGAACTGTGCATGTTTTATGTATTTCAATCACACCTCAATAAAGCTGTTTAATAAAACAAATTAAAAGAAAGAATTACAGCACAAAGTACTTTTTCTGATTATGATAATATAATAGGAAGATAAAGCAAGCAGTACAGTGGCTTATGACCAAGTAAAAGGTCTGGCTACTTCATAGAAATGTCTGGGTCTGAGTCTTCGTGCCTTGAAACCAACATTGTGAAGTTAAAAGAGAGTAAGTATCCCAGCTATGGTGACAATAATTTCACAGAACAATACACAATCAGAAAGCAGGGGGTATGCTAGGGTTTAATTTTAGTCTTTGAATGAGGGAGCCATGCTAGCACTGATGGGAAGAAAGGGAAAATACCAGGAAGGAATATCATCTTTACGAGATTTGCAAATTTATCTTCACAATGTCTAATTAGAAATCTCCAACCACTTATTAATATGTTTATATCAGTATGTGTTTATCAATGTGGTGCTTTTCATATTCAGGATGGTACTGCATATATTTCTGCCTACTACAGTCATGCCATCAGTGTCTATATGAATCAGTGAAGGGCTAATGATATCAATGCTATTATGTGTTGAAAGACGACATGGGATCTAGGCCTGCTCTTAAGAGAGGCATGCTCCAGGGAGCAGAACTTGCCATAGAGCCTGGAGGCAATTACTCTAGAAAACAAGTATTGCCCAAGTGATATTAAGAAGTAGAGATCCAGGAGTTGAGAAGTAGTTATTGGCACAATCTCTGGCTTGGGTCAGGGAGCCCAAAGGGCCCTAATAATAACATCTGTCCATGATACTTGGCTCTGGGCAGGTTGTCACCCTAGGCTTAAGGCAGCAGAAATATACCAGCATCTTGCTTCCTGGAGTATTGAATGAATAAGATAAGCATTGGTCTGTAATAAAAGTTAAAGTTCACTGATCAGAACTGGAGACTGATGTCAGAGCAGAACTGAGAGTCAGTCGACCTCTGGAATCCTGGAGTGATTGCTTTATTGAACCTGTCTTTCTTAAGATTTGAATGGTCTAAGTTCTGGGGAAGGGTGAAGGTGTTATGAGCCTAGGCCAGGTAGTTAGATCTCAGAGTCTGGAAACTAGTAACACTTTGACCAGGATCTCCACATTTTGAAAATGACCACAGCCTGTGGTGACTAAAAGTGGCTCTCCAAGGTTAAAGAAATAAAGACAGTAACCCTCTTATATGGTATGTCCACATAAATGATGATCAGGCTTGTGGCTGGGAACATCTTGCTGATGAAGATCTGTAGCAGGAATTCTCTGGGTTGAGTGGCCTTTAACCATTAATTTTTGAGTTTAAATGTCTTTGAGGAAATTTTTGAGAACAAATATGGCCTAAAATTTAAACTTCTGTTAAATGATCAGAATTATAATTTTGACTTTTATTCTTATAAAACTATGTCTTCAAGTGTTAATATTTATTCTGTATTTTCAGATGGCTACCCCAAAGAAGAAATGATTTACAGATGGAGAAAAAATTCAGTTGAGGCAGCTGATCAGAAATCCTGGAGGCTTTATCAGTTTGACTTCATGGGCCTCAGAAACACAACAGAAATTGTAACAACATCTGCAGGTAGGAATTAATTTAAGGAAACATAACTCTCAAAAAAAAAATCTGATTTTTTCCCCTGGTGCCTGAGGCATAATCATGCCTTTAATGTAGAATTTCATCATGTTTATGTTTTAACTAGTTATATTAGGGCAATCATATACCTCAGTAATATTTGAGACAAAACAACTGATTCAATAGTGAAAAGTATTTTTAATGTTTTATTGGGATGGAAAAAGGATCATGAGAATTGTCTTATTTTTTAATCAAGATGGCATTTACATCATGTTTATAAATTTAACTAGGATTCCCACTATCAACCATATTTATATAAACTGATTTTACTAATAATGAAAGTTCAACTTTTCATATGCATAATATGAATAAAATATTATTGAGAATCTACACATAAAAGAAGCTGCTGTGAAATGTCCTTTGAATTTTAATTTCTAGCCTCTTCCTTTCCTTTACTCTAACCTTTATTTTGAGCTTTGTATTTCTTTTCCAATATACTGAACACAATAATTATCCACCAGTTTGATTTTATTAAGTGACCATTAAGTGCTTAGTATAAGGCACATAGTTAGGTAGAAAGAGATGTGTCCTCTATTAGCATATTTGAATATTTTAGGGATTTTTGTTTGTTTTATAGGGTTTTTTTCTTGCTTTGTTTTATGAGGGTTTTTTTGCTTAGTTTTGACTACTTATTTATTCCTATGACCCACTATTTTGCAACTAATTTCTTTTGCCAGTGTGTGGGGCACAGATGAGGTTAGAACCAACCTTTCTACTGGTCTTATTATTAATATGAATAGCTTTTAAAACTTCGTAATAATTTGTTTCATCAATGACTAAGATTAAGATGTAAACTTTGATAACCACTGGTTAATATCTTTAAAGGATAGTCTGAATTCTGGATAGAGTTGAAAATATAGAATATTTACACATTAAGAAAAGTCTGAAAAGCGATCTGATTAACAGAGAAAAAAACTTCCCTATAGGTGCCATGGTGATAAAGGTGAGAAATGCCATCTGTGTTTAAATATTAAACAATGATAAAGTTAAAAAAATAATCATAATTTATTTAAATAATCTGAGGAGATAGCAAAAAGGGAAGTGTTTTGGAGAGACTTTTTCCCAATTATGAGTCACCTACATTAAGAATGTAATTCTGGGGGCACCTGGGTGGCTCAGTGGGTTGAAGCCTCTGCCTTCAGCTCAGGTCATGACCTCTGGACCCTGGAATCAAGCCCCACATCAGGCTCTTTGCTCGGCAGAGAGCCTGCTTCCCTCTCTCTCTCTGCCTGCCTCTCTGCCTACTTGTGATCTCTCTCTGTCAAATAAATAAATAAAATCTTTAAAAAAATGTAATTCTGCTTCTTGAATGGTAGAAATGCACTAGTAGACCTTTCAGTATAAGGCATCCCAATGAAGGTAACTAAATGAGGGGATTGTTCTAGCATTTAAAAGCTAAAAAAAAAAAAAAAAAAAAAAAAAAAAAAAAAATTGCCAAATGTCGATTCTGTTTTTCCTTTCTTGGTGTTCTCTGAAAGATGATGTTAAAGGATAGGAAATTTCAAAGGAAAGTAAAGCACATCTGCTGTAGGGTTTTGAAATTGACTGTAAGAGAATACCAGCACAGGGAAGCAGCAAATAGAGGGAGCTGTGGAGTCAAGGTAATAGTCTGAGTGACTGTATGCTAGGTGATACTTTTACCAGATAGAAAACCCATTCCAAACTCAGGTTCAACTACCCTATGCTTGAAAAATCAATATTCAAGGGGCGCCTGGGTGGCTCAGTGGGGTAAGCCTCTGCTTTTGGCTCAGGTCATGACCTCAGGGTCCTGGGATTGAGCCCTGCATCGGGCTCTTTGCTCAGCAGGGAGCTTGCTTCCCCCTCTCTCTCCGCTTGCCGCTCTGCCTACTTGTGATCTCTCTCTCTGTGTCAAATAAGTAAATAAAATCTTAAAAAAAAAAGAAAGAAAGAAAAATCAATACTCAAGAGATGTGTGATGGCAGGAGGAGAAAGTTTGCTTTATTCAGGAAGCTGAAACCTGAGACGATGGTAGGCTAATATCTCAAAGATCATCTTCCCTGTCCAGCTGAAGCTGGAAGGTATTAAAGGCAAAGGCATAGGAAAAAGAGAGGGGGAATACATCCAGGAGCTAGCCCTCTGTGGACATGATCCAGCAAAGACTTGCTGACATCAGTAGCAGCTGTTTTCAAATGCAGTCAGACCTTATCTTCTGGGAAAGTTTGGTCATTCACTCCTTGAGGCCAGTGGTCTGCAATTCTCAAGGAAAGTAACTTAGTTGTGCTAGAGATTAAGGGACTTAGTTCCGCAAACAAGGAGTACATAAGCTTGAAGCAAGGTTACCCTTCAGATGGGTTGGAGTGCTATTATGTTACTGTTGGTTTAAAAAATATATGGAAGACATTCACTGGCAGCAAGGAGTTTTTGGTCTCACTGGAAAAACATGATAGATATGAGAGACTTATGAACAAACTAGGAATTTATACACCAGCATAACAAATAGACCTTATATTAAGTTAAAGTGTACTCAAGATGGAAGCAATGTTTAGGACAGTCCTTAATGAATAAGAAATGAATGTTTCCCAGGATTTTTTTTTTTTTTTTTTTTTTGTCATTCCTTTTTCCGTGAACTCAATGAATGTGTTAGCATTGATGAATGTTCTCCATCTACTCCTCTTCTCTGGCTTCCCTTATTTTTATATAAATCTCCACATTATATTGAATCTTGTTAATCACTCCATCTCTTTTAGAAAATAAGCAAAAAAATATGTTCTAAAGAAATTAATCTATATTAAAAAAATTAAACTCCCTTGCCTCTAATAATTAATCAGATGATACTGTTTGAAGATGAGAGTGAGATATAAATGATGGATTTCTAAATTTCTTATGAGCCCAAGGTGGTCACCTCCCATATCTGTCTTTAGCAGCCCAGTATGCTCTCTATCTTATTTGCCCAGTGGAAGATCCTGGAGAAATCATTACAATCCCTCTTTTGCACACTCCCTCAGTCCCCTTTCCCCTTTTTTCTTATGTACACCCAACCGTAGTGAAATCCAGTCCTCTACCTATTCCACACCACAACCATACAGCATTATGGGGGAAAAATACTAATAAATAAAAGACACTATTTTCATCACTGCTCTCTTTTGAAGGTGTTATCCATGAATTTCAAGAGAGTTTTGAGGTTATCATATCAGAGTATGTGATGGTCCAGTGTTTCTCAATCTTTTATTCATTATCACCTCTCCTAAGGAGTCTTTTTAGGTATTTTTAACCACCTCCCTTATAAGTTTGATACTACAGATATGCTTGTATATATTTTCATGTATTATGGCCTTTTGGAAGGCTACACATAGCAATATCAAAGATTTATCACCTCTCTACCTCCAAAAAACAATTTTCACTCCCATAGAAATAAATATCACCTTCATTAAAATCCAAACCTTAGTCTGTTTATTCTTTCAGTTTCCTAGATGGGGTTCCTATTTTGTTCTTGGTCCCAACCTCTGACAGCAACACCTTCTTTTACTTTCCACTAGTGATCTTGCTCCTCACTATTCCTGGAATCTTGAGGAAATCAGAGAATGTCCCAACGACTTTGCCCACCTATTGTAACTTTTCCCTCATAGTGTTGCAGATGAGCTCCCATTGCTTATCCATATGTACACCAGATCCTGTTCTTTTCCCCTACACTAGAGATTGCTCCAGCAAAACTCCCTCTCACTCACAGCATTTTCTTTTTTTTTTTTCTCTCTACTGGATCTTTACTATCAACTACTTAAAAATAAGCTTTTATTTCACTAACATATTTTTTTTAATTGTTTTAGTTAGGTCTCCAGCATGCAACAAGTGACATACACAAACTAGGTAATTAGAAGTTAATGAAGGGAAGAAACTATGCACAATCTTGCCGCAGGGCTTATAACTTATTGCAATAATGGATTGTGGTAGGCAGAATAATGGCTCACAAAGATTTCCATTTTCTAATTCTCAGAACCTGTGAGTACATCATGTTACATGATAAGGGAGAATTAAGGTAGCAGATGGAATTAAGGTTGGTAGTCAGCTGACTTTCAGATGGAGAGGTTATTCTGGATTATTGAGATGGGTTCAATGTGGAAGAGAGAGTCAGAAGGAAATGTGACTGTGGAAGAAACTCACAGAGAGGTACAGCTATGCTGGATTTGAAGATGGAGGAAGGGATCATCAGCCAAGGCAAGTGGGAAGTTGTAGAATCTGGAAAGAGCAAGGAAATTAATTCTAGAACATCTAGAAGGAAATATTGCCCTATTTATGTCTTAATTTTAACCGAACAAGATATGTGTCAGACTTCTAACCTGAAGAACTGCAACATAACAAATTTTTGTTGTTTCAAGCCACTAAGTTTGTGATCCTTTGTTACAATAACAATAGGAAACTAATATAGACATATTGTAATAATCTCAAGCTAGTGGTATTGGGAAGCTTTTACCACTTTACTGAAAAGGAAAGAAGAGGGTATGGTTACTGGAATCTGGAGAAATAGTAGAAGTGAGGGGACTGCATGACAACTGGTGTCACTTTCAGCAGAGAATCCAGCCAACCTGCAGCACAGAGGCAGGACAGAAACCTAAGGATACATGGCTTAACCTCCTTTACCTCACATTATCTGTTCCTTCTCCCCAGTAGCCAGAAGCTGAGGCTCAGGGAACTTATATGGTACACCCTAGGCAGAAGCTTCCTGGGATAAAGCAGGTGGAAAAGAGTAGAAAGTAAGTATGGAGGGGCAACAGAAGGTGCCCAGCATACTGTTATTCTAATCCTTCATCCTCCACAAGATTATGCCTTATTTGCCTCTGCAGCAAACTCTTCTAAAGAGTCATCCTGTCTCACTGACCCAGTACCTCCATGCCAACCTCTTGAGCCCTCTCTAGCCAAGCTTTCCTTTTCACTTCTCCACCATCACTGTTCATAAGAAGGTCACCAGGGACCTCTACAATGATAAACCTTCT